GAACTACCGCAGTTTAGTTTGGAATCGGTATTCTTTGAAACGAACCCGAACATCTCCTTTATTCAGACCCCCCCACCCCCGACGGCGCATAAAATACGCCGATAAAAGAATCACGACGCACTTATTCTTGCGGGGGGGGGCCTTAAGGGATCCGCGTTAAGTGAAATTCTCTAATGGGAGGCAGTGTTTGCTCTAAGCTGAGTTAGTGTGAGCTAGCTCACCGTTTTTTAGCCTCCGGCTCACACATTTTTGCCTTGGCTCAGGAAGGAGGGATCCAGAGCAAACTAATTTATGCAGTAGCCAAATCGCTCGCTCACAATTGTAATGCCAGCAGCTCACAAAGTAGAATTTTTGCTCACAAGGCTCCACAGCTTCGAGGGAACATTGAAGGGGGGGGGGGGTTGAGCGGGCAGGAGGGCCATCGGCACAGCCTCAAACGGAGACGCACAAACTCTCCCTCCAACGGTGGTCAGGATGAGTGTGCAAAGCAGATTCCTTTAGACCAGGCGGAGTTCGAACTTCTGGGAGGGGATCCTGAGAAATCCGGATGCTAAATCCTGGACTCGGAGGAACTCCGCATGGAGGAGGCCCGGATCCCCTGAAGTCCCCCAGCGCCGCTGAAATCAAAAGGGCGCGTCCACGGGAAAGCCGTTTCAGTCCTCCGGCTCCCGAGAAAGTACGCCTGGCGCGGCCGCCGCCCCCCGGCCCTGATCCGTTGCGCGTTTACTCAGGAGTAAGTCTCATGTCTTCCGGTGGGATTTAATTGCAGAGTCAACACACACACACACACACACAAACCAGCCGGATTCGCTCAGGACAAGTAGACTCTAAAGATTACAGGCTGAACTCTCCGCCTCACGTTTTGTAGGAGATGCTCCACATCCCGGGCTTAATGTCAGTCAAAAGGCAGGCCCGTTCCGCTTAGCGGCCTGGTCCAAACATCGGCTGGACACACAGGCGCACTTCTGTGACTGGCAGGTGCCCCCCCCCCCCCCCCGTCTTTTTTTTTTTGGACTTGCATCTCCTACAAGACCAGGTCCGGCCTGGTATTTCCCCGGCATCTCCGACCCTGCCCCGTCTACCAACCTCTCATTCCCCGCACACGTCGAACACGACAGACGCCCTAAGTACATCGACTTGGGCATCAATTCGACCTGCTTAAAAACACTCTCCGGATGGTTCATTTTGAAGTAAGTTCCCTTTGGTTTCAATAGCGCTTCTGTATTTATTTGGGAAATAAATTTAGGACCGCTGAATTCTAACTCGAAAGTTCACCTCCTCCCACAGAACTCTCCGGGCGACTAAACTTCAGAGCAAAGTCGTGCACAGATGGATCGCTGCAGTCTTCGCCTGAGGGGTCCTTCCCAAGGCCCCGTTCCCACGCGAACCTTCGCATTTTAAGGGTCAACTTTTGTGCTACTACAGTTTGCAACGACATCAGGTGGGGATAAGTCCCACTGAAACCAGTCGGTCTGACTAGGCGGTGAGGGTGTGAAGTTCCGAGTTAAAAATCCAGTGGCCTTGCGGAGAATCGTTTGAACGCTCTGGCGAGGCAGCCTCTGTAGGAAGGCAAAGGGGAAGTTTCTTGCGGAGTCCTCCTAAAACGCACAAGGCGACCATCTCCACGATGCACAATCCCACGGCGCCATAAAGGCCGCGGCCGCCGGGCCCAGTTGGCGTGGGGTCTACAGCTAAATGCCTTCACCAGACAGGCCAGACTGGCCACTACCAGGGCTAGGGGCCTTTTGGCGCTGGTGGAAGGAGCTCCATGAGGGCACCAGGGACCTGTCCAGTTTACTTCAATTCCGCAGGGCCTGCAAGACGGAGCTCTACCGCCAGGCATTTGACCACACCTAACATCTCGATAACTTGGAGCCTCCCTGGGGTTTGTCTCATCCAAGTCTGTACTAACTGACTCCTGTTAAGAAAATATGGGATTATGTGACTGCCGTCGCATAGGGAATATATATGTATTGCACTTTAGATTTTATGTGTTTTAAACTGATTTAATATTTTTATGTAAGCCGCCCTGAGCCTGCTTCGCTGGGAGGGCGGGTATAAATCCAATAAATAAAAAAATAAATAAACAAACTCTCCAACAGAGCGGTCCGAAATCAACTGCTCAGATAGGGCAACGGGGCACGATCCAGTTGTGAGATCCTACCGAAACCAATGAGGGCGAAAAAGTGAAGTTTCACTTAGGCTGGATCGCGCCGCGATCAATTATAGTTATCATCGCCTTTGAGGCTGTAAAATGTTCCGGCTGCAACCCCTATTCTTAATAAAACTAGTTGCTGTTTTTCTAAAGCCATCAGGTGGTGGCTTTCGGTCTCCCCACTACAATGTATTTTTTGTTCGACAAAATTGCTCGCTATCTGAAGTAGTGAGCAGCGACTCACGAAAGCTCACCCCCTGCCCACATATTTTGTTAGTAGGTGCTACTGGACCCTGGCTCTTTTCTACTGGCTCACATGCAGAATGCCTCCTAAAACAATCAGAAAATTCGAAGACTTTCCGTAGAGATTTGGACTAAGGCACAGGGGATTTAAAATGTAAGAAATACTTCGTGGGTGGAAAAATATTTTGGATGGATAATTGTAGATTTTTTTTCTTGACTGATTTTGTCCTCGTCTGAAAAGACCGTGCCTCTTTAAAAGTCAATAAAACAGACACAAAAATGCTAGTAAGGTTTTTTTTTGGGGGGGAAGTCATTTTGGCTGCAGCCGCCAGAGCCGTTTCGCAGAAGTCGGCCCTTCTGAACTTCTGCGTCAACAGATTTGGGCTCAAGTTCCTAATCTCCTCCGCGGGAACGCGAGGAGCCCGAAAGGCCTTTCGGGGCATGCGTGGACGCGGGCCCTCATTTGCAAGGCAGCCGCCGGTGTAGGCTGATTACGGAGTCCCGGGGTTTAGGCAAAGGGACGCGGACTCCGGCCTTTTATGACATGAGGCTCAAGGGGCCTTTAAAAAAGAAAACAAGAAAACCAAAGAGGCGCCGGATGCCTTGGGCCCGGCTCCTCACCGCATTCGTTTTACAAGCCAGCCCCGTTTCTTTCCAACAGAGAAGCCGCGATGTACACACGCACGGCCCGCTTACTCCGAAGTAAACTCCCACTCGGTACAGTGGTCCTTCCTCCCAAATCAATTCAAATAGCACCGCAGGTTTCCTTGGGAGCAAGCCCTACTTGCACGCCACAGGATTTACGCTTCTGTAGAGAGTCCTGAAACCGGGCCGCGAGATCCCGCCGGGTCCCGCCAGACCGGAGCTGCCTTCGGGGCCTCAAGAGGCGCCCACCCCACCCCCCCAG